GAATGACTGACAGGATGAGAAGCCCTAGTGTCCCATAGTGAAGCTCATTCCTGGCAGGCCCTCAGGGAGGGAAGACAGGGTGGGAGAGGAACCGCGGGAACCATGGGAAAATAACTGGGTAGAGTGGTGTGGACTTCGGGTCTCAGTGCACTGGACTGCCAGACCCTTGGGTGTACATAGGTCCCCGGAGATCCTCTCATCCAGGTCTGGTTGATCCGGGGTAGCTGAGATAACTCTGAAGGTCAAGGCCAGGCTAAGATATTTTGCCAAGCCAGCAAATTTCCCTTTGGTACCCTGTGGCCTTCCCCATGAGAGAGAGCCTCGTCCTTCATAAAGCTTCCCCCAATAGCCTTTCAGTGTATTGATCCATGAATCCACTTCATAGCTTCTGATCAGATAGATATTAACCTCTCAGCGGGACTGTACACCCCCAGGGAACAGAAATATGAATTGTCACAGGTATTGGCATAAGGGAAGACCTGGGAGGAGAGTCCTAGGAACTCGTCACCATCCTGAAGTGCTAAAGGTCCCCTCTCTCCCCCCAGAACTGCTGACGGTGGGGATTTCCTCCATGCAGCACCCCCGTGGGAGCCACCTCTTGGACACCCTGCAGTCCGTGTTCGAAGCATCCTCGGAACCTGAGCAGGAGTCTGTCGTGGTGCTGGTCCACCTGTCAGATCCTGACCCTGAGTGGCTCCGCCAAACAGCTGCCAATATTTCCAGGCTCTTCGCACAACACATTGAGGCCAGGGAGCTGCTGGTGATCCACGGGCTTCTCGGTGGCTCTCCTCTCCCAGGAAATCTGAGTGACGCTAACCACACCTCACCCTGTGAAGCACTTTATTTCAGGCAGAACGTAGACTATGCCCTCCTCATGAACTTCGCCAGCAGCCTCTCTGATTACTTTCTGTGGATGGAAGATCATGTCCACTGCAGCCCCAAATTTGTTTCTGCCGTCTACTGGGCATTATCAGCCTGGGAAGAACTACCTTGGGTGATCCTGGAGTTCTCCAGCCTGAACATCTCAGGGAAAGTTTTCCGCACTAGTGACCTCTCCCGCCTGACCTCTTTCTTCCTCCTCTTCCTTAACACTCCTGCTCCCTTGCTTCTCTCTGAATTCCGTCTTCTCTTGGCCCAAAATGTTCCAATTTGTTTCACTCCCTCTGTCTTGCACCACATGGGCACTGTTTCTGTAGCTGAGGACAGCTGCTTTCCTGTGGAGAAGGACAAAGTCTTTGGTGAACCAGACAACCCTGTTGCTACTGTGATCACAGACATGGAGACACCGTTGGATGTGATGCCACAATACGCTTATACTCTGAACCAGGAGGGCTACTCTGCCTTGGATCTGATAAAAGGCAACCACTTGACAGTGATTCTGGACAGACCACAAAAAGTCATCCGGATAGCAGTGCTGACGGGCTCAGATGAGGGAGAGAGATATCGCCTGCAGCAGGGGCAGGTAGAACTGGGCTATGATCCCATGGAAGAGCCCAATGACTGTGCTCACTATACCCTGCTAGGGCCACTGGTGGAAGGAAATCTGGACCAGAGGGTATTCTCTGAAGAAGATTCTGAGGAGGTGAGTTGTATCCGACTGCTGGTGTTAGCATCTCAAAAGGCTTGGGTACTGATCAGGCAGATCAGAGTCTGGACTGAGTCTGAGGAAGAGGAGAGTTAGAAGGCACAATGGATATTCTGGAAGAATCAGGTCTTGGAATGGAATCTACATGGTTGACAAGAAATAAATCTAGAAATTGATCAAGGGCTGCTCATTCTTAGTAGGGTGACCCTATAATTTATTGTCCAAACTAGCACATTTTTGAAAGTGAAAGAAAATGTTATTAAAAATTACACTAAATAGATGTAAACCAGGACTGTCCTGGGCGAGACAAGATGTATGGTCACCCTAATTCTGTGTTTTCTAGGCTATTGAATATAGGTGACACAATCTGATGAGGGGCAAAGACAATATCCTTCTGGCTTCCAAGGGCCAGAGAGTGCAGCGAGAAGGAGTCACCACAAACTGCCCTGTTCTTGTCTACACACAAGTATAACATCCTAGGATCTTTCTTTGAGGTAGTTATTTCTCTATCTAGAGTTGGGAACAGTCTTAATAGAACTATGATCATGGATGCAGAACTGACTCTGACTCTCATTTGTAGACCCAAACCTTCAAGGTTGAGACCTTGCTGGAGCAAAATTAGCTGACCTGGGTTTAAGGAATGAATGTTTCAAGTGTCCATTAATTTCCTAGAACTGTGTGCAAAATTTGGTGTAGGTTTATACATGCATTTTTTTCTAAGCAGAGGATACTTTACTGATACTGATGCTTTCATCAGAGCATTGAAATGTTCCATATCTTCTCCTAAAAAGTTAAGTATAGCTAAACCAGCACCTATAAACTTCTTGAGGGAAGAAACAATATGTTACTTGCAGCAGAAATCTATTTCCATTGGAAAATAAGAAGATGGGATCATACATTCCTTCATCTATCTAATCAGGAAATATTTGAGTGCATACTTAATGTTGAGTGCTTTTAAAGAGAGTATGAATAATAAGATCAACCGAACATGGATGACACCAGCAAGGGCTTAACGGCAAAAATCAGGAAATGTGACATAGATGTCGATTCTCTCAAAATGGATAAGTAAAATTGATGAACTCCAAAAAAAACACAAATGAGGTTTTTTGTAGTTTCCTTTGCTTTTGAAATTTTTCCTAAAGTTAAACTTACAGAAAAAATTTGCATATAGCCAGTTGCCTCTCACTAGAATACTTATTCTCTCATTTCATTAGAAACAGAGTAATGGCCAGGCAAATATTCCAAAATCAGGCTGGGCACGGTGACTCACACCTATAATCCTAGCACTCTGGGAGGCTGAGGCAGGAGGATCCCTTGAGCCCAGGAGTTTGAGGTCGTAGCGACCTATGATCATGCCACTGCCCTCCTGCCCCGGCAACAAAGTGAGACCTTGTCTGCAAAAAATAAATAAATGAGAAAATTGACCCTTGGATTTAAACAGCATTGTGGATTTTCCAAATTTATACAATGAGTTGAGAGGCAAATAAGTTACAAGTATATGCAAGGCAATGACTATAGGGATGGACTGAATTAAATCTGTGTGAGCACAGGTGAAAAGACATGAAGGGGGTGAGGTGTGGTAAAAGGTGGGCGCAGCTCAATGCGTGGGTCAGGACCTGGTGTCAGTGATATCTGACCCAAGACGTGAGGGGCCCAGATGACCTTGCATGTTTGTCAGCAACCTTACCCAAGTACCTGAGGAAATTTCCACACTGAAAACTATCCAGCAACTACATAACTATAGATATTACAAAAAGCAGAACAAAACAAACGAAAATATGGCAAAGCAACCCCAAACTTCCCAGAGAACCTTTCACCACGTCACTGGCATTTTCTAGAGTGACCATGGGGTTTGTAAATATCACTGGGCTTAAGAATGAGGATTGGAAGGCAGAGTGCATGAATTGAAAACATAGCTCTACCTCTCGGGCAAGTTATTTTGACCCCTCTGGGCCTTAATTTCCTCATCTCTAATATGGGAATCAAAACAGTTCTTTGTAATGGAGTTGTGAGGATTAAATGATTTAATTCATGAAAGACACTTAAAACAGTAGCTGGCACATACTAAGGGCCTGTTTTTATTACTCACTATTATCTGTTATTATTTAAAGGATTAATTACTAATTCTTTGCAAGGATACAATCTAACCACTACTACATCTGCTAGCTCCTTTGCTACCAGCCATCCCACACTCTACTTACCCCCCCGGAACACCATTTCTCCCTTTATTCTTTGACAAATTACAATGTTCAAAGGGGCATGAAGAACTTGGACTTGATTCAGACCATTGTCCTTAGCAAAGACTGATCAAGGCACAGCAACATTCACAAAGGAGTAGTGGGCAGGAAAGCAAAGATTAAAGAAACAATTGGGAAAAAAAGAGAGAAAGAATTGATCTCAGTAATTTCCAGGGTTCTTTCTGTGCCCGGGGAAGACACTAATCCTCTCCATCTCCCAGAATCTGGGACAGGAAGATCTCTGAGGTCATCTGGTCCGATCTCCAACTCAGCGCAGCAGCCCTGTCCCAGCGCTCCTACAGCATCCATACTCATTTACTGAGACCAACAGTCAAAATTTCCAGGATGAGCCCAGTCTCAAACATTCTGTCTTGTGGTTCCCAGTGATACACACATGCTAGTTAAAGTGTACCACTCTGGGGTTCAGAAGACACAATCACAGGTCGTAGTTATAATCTCCTTTGGTTCCGTACCTCTCCTTGTCTTGCCATTCATCTATCCACTAGAGGGAGGAGGACCTAGAACCTCTCCCACCAGAGCTGAGCAGTGACAAAGATCAGTAGTGTGGCTTCTTAACTAAGCCAGTAGTGGGTGTGTCAGAAGCACTGGATCATAATCTCGGTCTCACAGAACAGAAAAGGGGAAGGAT